CGTACGTTTCCGGCTTCCGGAGGGCCTCTGGGGAGCTGGGGGAGGCCGTTTTCACCCTCTCCAGGCTTCAGGAAAACCTCCAGAGCCTGGGGAGGGCGAAACACCCACCCCCTACTGGGTGGTCATGCACACATGAACCAAAGTGGATGGGTGCTTGCACATGTGCAAGTGAGTGGGGCACATTGAATTGTGGGTGTGGGCATGCATGTGCCTGCGATAGCACGCGCACACAAATTTTTGGCGCACCTCTAGAAAAAGGTTTGCCATCACTCATGTAGGGTTTCCTGACTGAGCAGAGGGGGTTGGGGGGTTGGACTAGAAGACATCCAAGGTCCCTTCCAACTCTGTTGTTCTGTTATTAACAGGAATACTGGTTCCTGTACGACACAGAAGAACCGTGCAATTCCTGTTGCCAAGCGCATCGTAAGAGGAGACGGTGGCCTCTTTGGCCTGCCCCATGGAGGGTTCTCCTTTCAGTTATTCTTTCTCCCCAATTTTCCAAAGCTTTGTCTGAAGTTCTGTGGGTTGGCAGCCGATGGCGAGCAACAGCCGAGAGCTGCAATTCTTGAATTGCATTTGGCTCCTAGTTTTTTCCTGAAACATCCAGTGCTTGGCAGGATCGGAGAAAAGAAATGGGAGATAAATGGATCATTGCCCTGAATTATGGTGCCAGTTCCCAATACCTAATTAAATGATTAACATCCGTCCAGTTCCAGATGAACTATCCATTTTCAGTACACAGGTGGACATTAAATAAGACATAAAGTGGAAAGTACAGTATGTAAGATCTCGGGAACTGGGGGTGGAGGGAGAAATAAAGATGACTGCAGCATATTTCTGACTTTCTTTTTTAGTTCCCTGGGGTTCCAGCTGAAAGATGAATAATCGGGCTGATTTGTAAATCCATAAAAGTAAGAAAAAAATTAAGTCCTACTGGTTAGAATAGATGTTCCAATAAATCCCCAAGTAAGTAGGCACTAAAAAATCTACAGCAGGGGTGTCAAGACTCAATTTCAGTGAGGGCCACATCAGGGTTGCGTTTGATCTCGGAGGGGGCCAGGTTGCGCGTGACCCACTGTCACTCATTGAGGGCTCTGTTTTTGACCGGGACAGCCTCCTGCAGCCCTCTGCCAATGAAAACAACATATGATTCACTTAAGACTTGCAGTGATTCACTTAACAACTATGGGGGAAAGGTCATAAAAAGAGGCGCAATTCACTTAACAACTGTTCTGCTTAGCAACAGAAATGTCCAAGACTACCTGTAATGGCTGGGTCCACCAAAGCTCGCATGTTCCACCCAAATCAGAAAACTATATTAGCACGATGTATGAATCCAGCTTTCGGGGTGATCCAATGATTATTTCTCCAACTTATTTNTGTGCGTGTCACCCGAAATGGCTACGCGTGTCAGCACTGACACGCGTGTCATAGGTTCGCCATCACTGTTCTACAGAGTTGAATACGTAGTCGCTGCAAATCCTACTTTGGTTTATGATTGTGTTTGATGTCTTCTGCACAACAAAAGAAAACGTAATAGACTAGATTTTGGAACGATTAGACTTTTAATATGAATTTCATATCAAAACACAAAACTAAGGACTCTTCTTTTAAGGAATGGATCCTATATTTACATGATGTGCATATTCATGGTTAATATCACCATGATTAATTGAATTACATTCTTTTTCTGGACATGTGCAACACATTAAACAATTAATAGTACCACTAAGTTTGTGCAGTTATGCTTAGGCTAAAATTCAGTTGTCTAATTTGTGGATTAGTACTATGTTGTACAAACCCAGATTCATCATTCCCAGCTGTTGGAGATAGCTGCAGTCAGAATATATCTTATCATCTGAAATACCCAACTCATCTTTACAACGTTTTGTCCATTTGTTTCAAGCATATTTTAAAATAATTCCAGCATGTAAACAATGTTAGGAAGCTATATAAATAACCTTTTGATTATGTTTTCTAAAAGCTAATATCTGATTTTTTTTTTGCAATTATTTGCTGAGCTATTCTTTATTAACACATATACAGAGGGACTATTGACTTAGTTTGTACAAAATTGGTTTAATCATGATTTCAATAAAACATAATTGGCTAAATTTATACACATGGCACTAAGTTATAAACTATTATTTCCAAAATAAATATATTTATAAGGAATATTTCCCAGCTTCCTCCGCAACCCCACTTAGGATTTAGACTAACATATCAAATGAATCAAAGGTATGCATTTAAAATTTCTTGACTTTTGCCATTTTTATTTTTTTGCTTCATCTCCAGAAAGGTCAGATAAATGTATATTACTCAGCTCCANCCCACTCGAGGGGAAGGATACTGCAAAATCTCCATTCCTTCCCCATTCCAGGGGGAGGATACTGCAAAATTTCTATTCCCTCCCACTCGAGGGGAAGGATACTGCAAAATCACCATTCCCACCCCACTCAAGGATAAAGATACTGCAAAATCTCCATTCCCTCCCACTCGAGAGGAAGGATACTGCAAAATCTCCATTCCCTCCCACTCGAGGGGAAGGATACTGCAAAATCTCCATTCCCTCCTACTCCAGAACAAGGATAGTGCAAAATCCCCATTCCTTCCCACTCCAGGGCAAGTATACTGAAAAATCCCTACTTCCTCCCGATCAGCTGGGACTCGGGAGGCAGAGAATAGATGGGGGCGGGGCCAGTCAGAGGTGGTATTTCCTGCTTCTCCGAATTACTCAAAATTTCTGCTACTTGGTCAGAACCTGCTGAGTACCACCTATGATTCTAATTTTGATCACCTGACTATGGAGATGCTTCCAAAGGTCATAAAGGGTGTGGGAACCAACATCACTTTTTTCAGTCGCATTGTAACTTCAAATGGTTACTAAATGAATGGTTGTAAGTCGAGGACTATCTGTATGCAGAATCATGAATCCAGGCTCTGGGGCACTGGTCTGCAAAAATTGGTTAAATGTGGGACTCACAGCCTCCTATTTGAACTTCCTGTTAATAAATGTCAGTTGATGAGTCAGAAGGAAGGATAGGAAGAATAAAGAAAGGGAAGGAAGGATAAAGGGAGGGAAGGAAGGATAACTAAAAGGAGGGAGAAAAGGAAGGATAAAGAAAGGGAGGGAAGGAAGGATAAATAAAAGGAGGGAGAAAAGGAAGGATAAAGAAAGAGGGAAGGAAGGATAGGAAGAATAAAGAAAAGGAAGGAAGGATAAAGGGAGGGAAGGAAGAATAAATAAAAGGAGGGAGAAAAGGAAGGATAAAGAAAGGGAGGGAAGGAAGGAAGGATAAAGGGAGGGAAGGAAGTATAAAGAAAGGGAGGGAGGATATTGTTACTGGAAAAAAATGTGGGGTCCTTGCTCCTCTCTGAGCTGGTTGTTTTCTTGAGGATGTTTCATAATATAGATAATATAGATAATATCTTTAATGCTAGCAAAAGAACAGCCCAACTCTAGCACTAGTTGGGAAATGACCTAGTTGGGTAATGAAATCTCTGCCAAAAACAAACCCCAGCCAACCTCAGAGGGCACCAAGGACCCCACAGTCCAGGCATCTGCTACAAGTATTCTCTTCTATTGGTATTTAAGAAATAATAATGCCAATAGTGGAAGGAAGGAAGGAAGGAAATGTGGGAGAAAAGAAATCTCTCCCCTCAGAAGCCTTTTGGTAAAAGCTAAGGGAAGGTAGAGAGATAAAGTCCAAAGCATAATTATTCCTCCAAGGCCCTGCCTGAAATCTTTCTACACCCCACTTTGCTATGCCTGAATATAGAGACACCCCCCCCTCTCTCTCACACACACACACAAACACCCCTACCTCTCTCACACACCCCTCACACCTCCCTCTTACACACACCTCTCGCACCTTTCCCTTACACACACCTCTCACACATATATACACATGTACCTCTCACACACACACCTCTCTTATACACAGACACAGAGGCACACAGACCTCCCTCTCTCTTACACACACACACACACACACACACACACACACCTGTTGCTATGGGAACCCAGAGATCTGCGAGGGGGGGGTGCTCGTAGTCTCCCCATCGCGAAGGCCGGACAGCCCCCACCCACTCCCCTTTAGTGAAATGCCGCTGCCCAGGGCTAACCTCTGGCTGGCCCGAGCGGCGTGATCGCCGTTGGCTGCCTCCGAGCCGTCCAAAGTGGCAAGCCCGTCACCTCGGAAGGGGCGCCAGAGGACGTGAGCGGAGGCGGGGCGGGTGGAGTGGAAATGGCTTTGATCTACTCTACTCCGCTCCTCCGGGCGACTCGCGGGGGTCTTGGCTCGTCTGGCGCTTTGTTGACGCCCGCCAAGTAATGCGCGCGTGTCTCCACGGAGGGGCGCTGGAGCACGTTTTAATGCAGCAAAATGAATGAAGAAAGCGGGCGCAGCGCCGGCGGGGGTTAAAAAAGAAGCCCCACGGCGGGAGGGAAAGGTCTGGGCAGGTGCGCGGAGGAAAGAGCGAGCAGGAGGGGCGCCGGCGGGAGGCGTCCCCGGCCCCTTATCTACGCGGACTCCCGCAGGAAAGACCCTGCCACAGCCGCTCTCGCCTCTCCTCTCCCCTTCCCAGCACAGGCAGTGCAGGCAGACGAGCTGTATTTCCCTCCCACCAACCACCCACCCGCCGCTGCTTTCCAAGTTTCCCTGTTGAAGGAGCTAACCCAGCTGCCTGGAGCCTTCGGGGCTGAGCGGTCTGCGTACCCCGCTTTTGCAGCCGCCTGGCGCGCAGAGGGCACTCGCCCTTCCTTACTTCCCTGGCACGCGCGCGCACCCTCGCTCGCACTCTCCTCCTCCTAGCCCCCCCCCACTCCTAGCCAACACACACACACACACATACACACACACACACACACACTACTGGCATGCGACCTGGAAGGCGGCTGCTGTGTGGCCCCAGGAAGGAGCCGGGCGAGGGAGCCAAGTCGCCTCCCTGCTCCGCGCCCCTCCTCTAACCGGGGGTTGGTGGGAGGTCAGGACCGCATCGATCTTCCTCTTGGAGAGGGAAGAGGGCGGCGAGTTTGACGCGCCGACGGCGGGGTTCCTCCACGTTCTCCTCCTCCTAGCCTCCCTCAGTTCCGATGCCCGGGCGGCGAGCGCGCCGTTCTCGCCGGCTCCCTTGAGGCAGACCGGGTGGCGCGTCCGGAGCTGTCCAGCGCCAGGCAGAAGACGGTGGGCGGCTCCAGACGGCCGGTGAACTCCGTAGTCCCCTGGCCAGCCTGCCGCCCTGGATCGACCGAATGGCTTCCTTGTACCAGCGCTTCGGCGGGAAGATCAACACCTCCCGCTCCTTCCCCGTCACGCCCGAAGCCAGCCATCTCCTAGGCCCCCAGTGCTCCGAGGAAGACGGGGCCGCTGCTGCTGCTGCTGCCGCCGCCGCCGCCGCCTCGGCCCACGCGGTCGCTGGAGCAGCGAAGGCTTCGCGCCCGTCGCAGCCGCACAGCCCCAGACTTCGCTTCCAGTACCAGGCGAGGAGGAGCGACGGCGAGGAGGAGGATGTAAGCCAACCCCTGCCTGACTCGGGGGGCAGGACGCGGTTGGGAGAAAGATGGGCTCGGGTGTTCCGCGCTCTCCGCCCCTCCGCTCGGACGGACGGACGGAGAAGTCCTGGCCGTGCGACGGCCTGAAGCGCCTGAGCTAGGGGGAGAGAGAGGCTCTATGAGACTTTCTCTCCCTGTTCTTATTCTCCCCACTTCCCGCCGGTTTTGTTATGGGGATCTTGTGGAAGCTCATGAGAAAATTCGGGGTCTCCCTTGGATTTAAGCGATGGATGCGGCTAGTGGTCCTTGGAAACCTCTGATTTCAGGAAAAGTTGAAGGGAGGAAGCAGATCCTCTGGGAAGGAGTCGCGTTGGAGCAGTTTGCATAGGATTGGAGAGAGTTGGATAGGTCACAAACAAATTTCTCTTCCCATCCCTTCCCTTCCTTTCTCTTCTCAAAACTGATAGGAAGTTATCAAAAGTATATTTTCAAGAGGTATATTAAGGTCCAAGAATGTGTTGGAGCATAAATTTGAGCAACATGTGCTTTTGTTGGTTCCGATTCTTGCATCTCTCTCTCTCCTCCCTACCCTCTTCCCCAGTCCCCACTTTCTTCCCTACCTCTCTACTTCCTTGGAGAAATTTCAAAGAGTTTGTATTTGCATATCTCCTTAGTAACGTGTGACTCATCCAGGACACTTACTGGTTCTGAGAAGGATGGTTCGCAGAAAAAGAAGTTGGAATAATCTGGAATTCATAACTCTTTGTTAAAGGAAGAAGGTCATTTTAGCTGATATATTACTAGTTTAGCCTGGAAGGGCGCCTTCTCCTTGAAGTTGGTTCTTGTGTTGTTGTTGTTGTTTTCATGTTTATGTGCACTTACGTTTGTGCAAATAGAAACAAAGCCTCCTTTAAGCTTTGTTTAACTCTTTGTGAATTCTTGGAATGTTTTCTACGCAAGTAAAGGCGTAATTTGTGTGTTTATCTTACAATGGTTTCCATATCCAAATACTAAGGGCAATTCTGACTGGTTTTCTAGATCAGGCAAAGGTACCTATACGAGAATGGTCACTAGCAATTCAGTGTTAATTCTTTAGCTTGTGGTACTGTGTCATTTCATAATTGGGTTTGTGTTACTGCAGTGATTGTGTATATATGTGTGTGTGTTTATGTGCATGCATATGTGCTCACATCTATTTGTACATATATAATCAAAATTAAAGAGGAGGATTTTCCAAGTTCATTGTGTACAGTATCTCCAAAGCAGATTTGCTTTTAAATATTCCTTCCTCTAAAGTTGCATTACAATAACAGCATTGCTCAGACCTTGGTTATAAAAAACAAGAGTAATTAGTATAAAATTAATAGCAGGAGAAGCAATTCCTTTTACTAGAAATCACTGTTGAGAAACTTATATAAGGAAGCAAGAGTGGGTTTTTTTGCCTTTCGTTCCTTTTTTTTCTTTGCGAGAATATTTATCCTTAAATAAATATATAAACATTTTGCAAAGTGCCCAGCAGTTCTGTTACATTCCGGGTGAATTGTGCTTTATGCTTCATTATAATATTTAGTAGAAATAAATAAGGTCTAAATCCAACTGACACAGAATCTTTAAAGTTAATTCACTTTTCCCTGGAATTTGTTTTTGCTATTTTTCGAGTGTATTCCAGGCATTGCCCTCTAGGTGACAGTATAAGAAAGCAAACTTTACTTTTTCCTCCCTAATTTTTTTTTTTAACATTTAGCTAACAATTTATATTTTACCTGCACCCAATTTTGTATATAGCAAAAAAACCCGCCTAGCAACTGGACATTTTGAACTTGAAATGTTTAATAGATAAATGTGGATTGTTTTAAATTGACTCAAAAGTGAAAGCCACACTTTTTTCCAGAACAATATTTATTAGTACGATATAATCATCTACGTATTTACATGAAATAACATTCCTTTCTGCTCATACGTCAGTAAGCTTCTTGTAAAAAGATGTAGAATTCTCTGCCACTAGACAGTTTCTGGTTTCACCCTAAATCTGTAACGAAAAAACAATATAAACGAAAATTCCCACCAATTAATTACTCCTGATTCCCACTTGCTTTCTTTAGGTAAGAGACCTGATAGAACGGTATTTTCCCAGTGCAAAAATTATTATTGCCTAGGAATCAAATTTGAGAGCTGGGCAATCACGATTGAGACCCACACACACTTACAATGAAACTGCCGTTTGTGAAACAGTAATATAATCCAAAATTTAGAGGTAATACAATCTGTAGTGTATGTATGTGTGGTAGGTTTAAGGAGAACTTTAAAAATGAGGTTCAGACATTAAAATGCTAGTTCCGTTTCTGACATTAAGGAGAACTAGACTCTGCCTCTTATGCCTTTATTCCTTCTGGGATGATTCTTTACTGTGTTAATCTAGGAGCTGTCTGAGGTGCTGAATAGTCCCTTGCAGATTGGTCTCCTTTAAGCAAGGTTGGGCAATTGATTCTTCCAAAGGGTCACATGAGAAACTGGGATTGTTGTAGGGAGCTGAAGCAATAGGCCTGTACACTCATTTACATTCGATTTCTAATTTCTAATTGACCTCATGCATGGCCAGATAGGGACAGCCAAAGGTCCAGATGTGGTCAGGGAATTACAGAGTTGGAATGGACCTTGGAAGTCTTTTTGTCCAGCCCCCTGTTCAAGCAGGAAGACCCTATACAATTTCAGACAAATGGTTGTCCAATCTCTTCATAAAAAACTTCCAGTGTTGAAGCATTTACAACTTCTGGAGGAAAGTCGTTCCACTGATTAATTGTTCTAATTGTCCAGAAATTTCTCCTTAGTTCTAGGTTACTTCTCTCCTTGATTAATTTTTGCTTGTTCTTAATTGATAAAGAACACTCAGTTGATATGTCAAGGCAGGATTTTTGACATTCAAAAGAAATCTATATGGCTCAAGGTTGAAGCGTGTAGATGAATGGGACTAGCCAGAGGGAACAAACCCCACACTCACCAAAACTGATGATGTCACCTAGTCAGGTAATAAAACATCTGCAAACAAGCAACCAAACAAAGAGAGCACCTTTTTTTACCTTAGTATTTTTTTTTTAATGCAAAGGACAAGTCAGAATTATTCTTCCTTATTGCAAGCCCTGCTGGGAACAAGGTCACTAGCAAAGATGTAAGAGTATTGTGAATAAATGTGCCTTTCCTCGCACAAATAGTTTTACAGGTTTTTAAGACATTGGAATGGACGTGGTGGCTCAGTGGCTAAGACACTGAGCTTGTTGATCAGAAAGTTCAGCAGTTCAAATCCCTAGTGTCGCATAATGGAGTGAACTCCCGTTACTTGTCCCAGCTTCTGCCAACCTAGCAGTTCGAAAGCATGTAAAAATGCAAGTAGAAAAATAGGGACCACCTTTGGTGGGAAGGAAACAGCATTCCATGTGCTTTTGGCATTTAGTCCTGCTGACCTTATAACCATGGAGACATCTTCAGACAGCGCTGGCTCTTTGCCTTTGGACAAGAGATGAGCACCGCCCCCTAGAGTTGGGAACAACTAACACATATGTGCGAGGAGAACCTTTTTCCTTTTAATGCATTGGAGGACAGGGGATGCAATGCGAGGATAACTGTGGCCACATGGAATGTGGAAAAGNAGCCGCCCTGAGTCCCCTCAGGGAAAAGGGCGGCATACAAATGTTAATAAAACCAAAACCATAAACCATTATTTTACTTCAATTTAGTTTATTCATTAAATAGGAAGCCATCCTGTTAAGTAAAAGGGCTTTTCATTAATTTTTATGCACCAGAACTCCTCAGGTACCCAATACACTTTTAGAAAAAGCATACAACACCGGTTATATGGGATAGTGTGCCCAGTTGGGGATGAGGGAATTCAGAAAAAGGACATCCCAAAGTATATTAGAAAGCTAGAAGACATGATGGGACTCAACCTCACCAGTTTGCCTGCTGGAAGTTGGTGTCTTCAGGGATGGGCTGCTATAGATTTGCCAGGATTTGGGAGAACCCGTAGCTAACATTATGGCCAGTTCGGAGAACCTCCAAATCCCACCCACTCCAACGTGGTACAGGAGGCCGACTAGGCCACACTCCCACCACGGCCATGCCCACCCAGCAAGCAGGCAAAGAACCTGTTGCTGAAATGTTTGAAGCCCACCCCTGGGTGTCTTAGATATCTCTTCAGAATAACAATGGTATCATTCAAAGTCAGGATGAAGACTTTAAGTCTTGCATTTGAAAAATGATAAAGGTTTTCCCCGTCCAGTCATGCTTGAGTTTAGGGTGATACTCATCTCCATTTCTTACCTGAGGGATCCAGAGTTTTTCAAAGACACTTCCGTATTCATAAATCCCGCATGGCTATACATCAAGGTGCATGGAACACTGTTAACTCACCAAAGTGGTACCTATCTTTCCAGCTGACGAGCTCAGCATCTTTAACTATGGAGCCATCGTACCGTATAAAGTTGCCCTATATCTCTTTGCTTTAAAGAGTGCCAGCAAGAACCAAAGGAAGTAACCAAGCTTCCTGGCTTCTATGGAACAATAATACATTGTCTTCATTCATTCCCAATCTCAGTTCAAAATGTTGGGTTTCATTTTTAATGCCACCAATGGCCTAAGATTGGATGGTCTGAAACGAGACGTTATACACAGGTGGTCCTTGACTTAAGAATCACAGTTGAACCCAAAATTTCTGTTGCTATGCGAGGCAGTTATTAGCAATAGCAATAGCAGTAGACTTATATACCGCTTCATAGGCCTTTCAGGCCTCTCTAAGCGGTTTACAGAGAGTCAGCATATTGCCCCNTGGTCTTCTTTCCTAATTATTAAATGGAGAGGTGCTGACACCATCTCTATACTCTTCTACAATAAGTTATGGAATTATATATATTTGGATGTCACTTCATGCTCCTTCTACTTGTTGCATAATAATCAAAGCAGTGATCACTAAATGGCTATTTTCCTTTTTTTTTCAAGTAATTTCTGCCAAAATCAAATGAGGAAGT